TTCCGCAAGCATTTTTTTTTTTTTTTTTTTTTTTTTAAAAAAAAAAAAAAACATACTTCGCTTCGAGCACCCCACCCTCCACACTCACGAGCTTACGACCGTGAACACGGTTGTGTGAATTCAAGCATGGTTTTCGAGTGGCTTGGGGCCAATGACTGCTCAACAAGCTTTGCATTGAGAGCCTTATCCACCTGTCTGTTTGTCAAACTCCACTTGTCTGCGAGATCTCGAGAACTCAAACATCGGTTCCGTTAACAAAAGCCAAGCCCCTTCCAAAAAGAAACCCGGCGGGGGATTAAACGCAGTTGCTTATTCGCAGCCCAAAGCAACACAAAAGCATCACCCTTTCCGAGCCTCAGGGTACACTCAAAACACGAAGGCACCAACATGAAATGTAAACCCAGCTGTGCGCCGGGCGGGACATTAAGCAAAACCAGACTGGCGAGCTGCTCTGGCGGGATAATGGCGGGATCCACTGGCGAATGCTGGCGAGCCGCTCCGGCTCGACACTGGCCGGATACTCGGCAAGATCCCCCGGCAAGGGATACTCAGCGGGATACTTGGCGCGATCCACTGGCGAGCTACTCTGGGATACTCAGCGGGATGCTCGGCGGGATCCACTGGCGGGCTGCTAGCTACTCTGGCGGGATACTCGGCGGGATCCACTGGCGAGCCGCTGGCGGGATACTCGGCGGGATCCACTGGCGAGCAGCTCTGGCGGGATATTGGGTGGTGGCGTGGCGTAGAAGCATCGCAAACGCGGATTCCAACATAGCATCTAACAACCCCTTCCTGTCGAGCGGGAAAAAAGCAGAACAAACAACGCAAAGTCTTTAAAGATGGACCCGCCGCAAGTCCGCAGACCAAAAGTCCGCAGACTGCAAATCCGCAGAGGGCGCAGCTTTGGATAGCCACGCAAGCTGAACAACACAGAAAGCCATGAGTTTTTGAAGGTCGACCTGCCCAAAGTGCTTCTATTCCCCAACTTTCGTGCTTCCAGCTTTTTCGGGGGCAGTGCTTCAATCCAATTTTGAAAGGCCATGCGCACGTGCGTGCATTCTTAAGCAGTGTTTCCTCAATCAGTACCAGTGGGAAGCTTCCTGTGACAATTTTTGCGATGTCTTGGTGCTGAGGAAAAACCGTGGGCTACCTGCTGCGACAAGGCCAAGTGCGATCGCCCGTCTCCGGAACGGACAAAGGTGACCACCCGCCAATCACACCCATGAAGGCCGCACCAAAGGAGAAGGGTGAAGAAAGTGGGAATCTTTACCCATCGCGCGCTCGGTTTTGCTTATTTTCCCGCTTTTGCCCGCTTGTTTTGCGAGTCCTTCAAAAGGTCGCAGCCTAGCACTTCCGTGACAGCAGGACGAGTTCAGCAAAGGGAAAGAATGGCGGCTGTACGAATACGTCACCCGTCACTTCATAGCGTCGCTGATGGATGATGTGGAGTATGACGAGGTCAGCTATGTCTTCGAGGTTGCTTCCGAGCACTTCGTATTCACGTACCACCAAGTTGCTGAGCGTGGCTTTCTCTATGCAATGCCCTGGAAAGCAAACGACTTGTAGCTTGGTGGCCGGCAGGGAAGGTGCAATGTAAGACAAGCTGCTTAGGGGCTAGTGGCAATTGTTTGATCAAGGAAGCTGGAAGAAATCGACTGGGACATGCCGGCGATGTCTGCGGGAGATGAGTTTGATGTCTGTGAGATGGCGGTCACTCGTGATACTACTAAACCTCCAGACTACTTGTTGCTTGGATGCACGGTTGCTTCCGCACTGTTCAAGGTACTGGTTGTGCAAAGTTCAAAGACTTGCAGGAAAGAGAGTGAACTTGTCTCCCTTATGGACAAGAATGGCATTGGGACTGATGCATCGATCCCGCAACACGTGCAGACACTTGGCCTATCTTGGCCTTGCTTCTGGCTTCGGCACCCTTCCTTGTCATGGAGATGGGTGACAGAGCGCCTCACGTCCTGCACCCAAAAAAACAAAAGCCGCCAGAGCTCAGGAACGTGGTTGACCGGCACTACGTCATGATTTGTGGGCCGGGCGGGGATGGTCAGAAAGGCGAGGTCATCTCCAAGGGCAAAGGCAAAGACAAAGGCCGCAAAGGCGCCTCCGAGCTATGTGTGTGCATTGATTGCTGAGCGCTACACTGCCGTCCCATGGGTGTTTCGAATTTCAGTTGGTTTAGTGGTTGGGTTTCCATTCAACCCACTAACAGTTAGGCTTTTAGCAGATCTGAGGACAGCCCAGTATATTCTTGACACTATAGTGTATGCCAAGATTGGCAAAGTGAACTCCCGTGTCATTCCGTGTCTCTCCCGTCGGAGGAAAGGGCAAGGGCAAAGGGCAAAAAGGCGGCAAGGGCGAGGATGGGAGGCCTGCCTCCAGGCCCGACGCCTGGATTCCAAACTGCTCCATCTTGTAGTTGTTGCATGTGGTATGCCTGGGATGCCTGGGATGCTTGGGATGCCTGGGATGCCTGGGATGCCTGGGATGCCTGGGATGCCTGGGACGCCTGGGATGCCTGGGATGCCTGGGATGCTTGGGATGCCTGGGATGCCTGGGATGCCTGGGATGCTTGGGATGCCTGGGATGCCTGGGATGCTTGGATGCCTGGGATGCTTGGGATGCCTGGGATGCCTGGGATGCCTGGGATGCCTGGGATGGCTGGGATGGCATGCCTGGGATACCTGGGATGCCTGGGATGCCTGGGATGCCTAGGATGCCTGGGATGCCTGGGATGCCTGGGATGCCTGGGACGCCTGGGACGCCTGGGATGCCTGGGATGCCTGGGATGCCTGGGATGCCTGGGACGCCTGGGATGCCTGGGATGCCTGGGATGCTTGGGATGCCTGGGATGCCTGGGATGCCTGGGATGCTTGGGATGCCTGGGATGCCTGGGATGCTTGGATGCCTGGGATGCTTGGGATGCCTGGGATGCCTGGGATGCCTGGGATGCCTGGGATGGCTGGGATGGCATGCCTGGGATACCTGGGATGCCTGGGATGCCTGGGATGCCTAGGATGCCTGGGATGCCTGGGATGCCTGGGATGCCTGGGACGCCTGGGACGCCTGGGATGCCTGGGATGCCTGGGATGCCTGGGATGCCTGGGGGATGCCTGGGATGCCTGGGATGGGATGCCTGGGATGCCTGGGATGCCTGGGATGCCTGGGATGCCTGGGATGCCTGGGATGCTGGGATGGCATGCCTGGGATACCTGGGATGCCTGGGATGCCTGGGATGCCTAGGATGCCTGGGATGCCTGGGATGCCTGGGATGCCTGGGATGCCTGGGATGCCTGGGATGCCTGGGATGCCTGGGATGCCTGGGATGCCTGGGATGCCTGGGATGCCTGGGATGCCTGGGATGCCTGGGATGCCTGGGATGCCTGGGATGCCTGGGATGCCTGGGATGCCTGGGATGCCTGGGATGCCTGGCATGCCTGGGATGTTTGGGATGCCTGGGATGCCTGGGATGCCTGGGATGCCTGGGATGCCTGGGATGCCTGGATGCCTGGGATGCCTGGGATGCCTGGGATGCCTGGGATGCCTGGGATGCCTGGGATGCCTGGGATGCCTGGGATGCCTGGGATGCCTGGGATGCTTGGCCATTTTTTTTGGTGGGGGGGGAGATCACCAGGCACATGGTGCCAACGCCCATGGGCCTGAGCATGCTGGCCGCCTTTGAGGAGTTGGATCCGCAGCTGCCTGGCCCGTTCTCATTGCCCCCAACATGATGCCCACATGATGCCCACATGGGTGTGGTGTTTTTTTTTCTTCCTTTTTTTTTTTGGGGGGGGGGAGCAGTGTTTTTTTGGGTGGGTCTTCTTTTTGTTTTTGAAGGGAAGCTAAAGGGAAAAACACCTTCTGAGGGTCCTCTTAAAGAAAACACACACACACACACACATGATGCGGTACCATCCAAGGCTGTGTCGGCCACCAATCCGTGCCTTCATGGAGAAGCAGGTCGCACAGATAGCTGATGGGGTGCTGGAAAAGTCTGACGTTACGGGTCAAAATTTGGACCTGCAACTTGGCTCATCCACTCACGCGTTTTTGGTTTGTCGCCGTGACGCTCTTTGTGCTTCTGCCGAGGTTCTATTCTAAGTTTGTGAAGTTTCGTGTTGCTTGGAAGCACCTACGAAGAGCGGATGCTTTTTCTGCACGTTTGACCGTTGCTTTTGCGTCCCCATGTGCAAGGAGAACATCAGCCGCCTGGACAGATTCTTCATGCGAAAGGACCAGATGAATGCGCAAAGCTGGGATGGAGATGGAGGTCAGGGGTAAAAATCGGTGTCTGTCACGGCGCGCATGTGGGCATGTGGGTTTGCCACGGTGGTCAATTGTTCATAGGCCGGAAGCGACAGGGCGGCTTGATTGCACGATTGTCGTCTCTCGTGCAGAGTGGCCTCGGTGCTTTTTGCTTGGGATGCCGAGGTGATGCCTGGGGCGGGGATTTCAAGCGCCACAAGCGTGCCTCCAAAGGCATTAAAGGCCATGTCGGTCAGTTGATCTTAATTGGCCTCGAAGGGAATGATTCGATTCCAGCATTTGCGGTGGCTTGCCTTCGGCAATATTGCAGGCAAGCAAGGCAAAGGCTCCTGGACATAGTATGGCTTGAGCCTCAAGCGAATCATTCGGCTGCTTGATGCTCTTTCTCCCACGCCCCAGAGGTCACATCCAGATAAACCAACTCCCTCGGTGAAGAAGCTGTCGCAGGCTGAGGGACAGCACTGTTGCCTGAGCATACAACATGCTTGGGCGAGGACGTGGAGAGGCCCGCAGAGACGCGCACCACTGATGCTCTGCCAAGTGAAAGCGAGCCACAGCAGGAAACCTGCAAACTCCACAGCGGGTGGCTCGTGCGGCTCTGCCCATGGCGGCGAGCGCCATGATTTCGCGCGTGGGAGGAAAGCAAAAGCGCAAAAGCGCAACCTGGGGTAAGCAAGTGCAGTGTTGAATCGAAGAAATGGGCGAGAGTTTCGGGCAAAGTTGAGGCTCTGGTGTGCTCTTTGCACATGCGCCCGGATCATACTCGCCACCTGCAAGCATGGGCCTCAGACTAGAGCTTGCCAGGGTGTCGAATGAGAGGATCGCAACAAATGCCTTCAAAATTGGACTTCAGGCCATGTTTCAAGGAAGTTGGTTGTAAATCCTTTGTGTTGGTTGGGGAAGAATGACGTGCGGTTGTGCCCCCAAAGCTGCCATTCATTCTTCTCACCTGTTTGTTGAATGCCTCGCCGCAGCCCATTCATCGTGCCCGTCTGTCACAAGCAGGGGTGTAAAAAGCGGCTTGGCAGCTTTGCCTGCTCAAGCTGCATGTGCTGGAGGAGCTGTAGATCCAACGTTTGGGCTATGGAGCCCTCAAGAAGCCAGATGCCATGGCAGTGGCGCAAATCCCGGGACCTGATGGCCTCCTCCAGATCCACGGCTGCATTTGGCACTTTTGCGCTGCAAGGAAGCGAGGCCACGTCAGCAAAAGTTGCAACCACACTCAATTGATTTTTCTGAAGCCTTGGGGCTTTCGACTTGGAGACATGTTGGAGCCAGTCCAGTCAAATACCCCATCCAACTCAGTTGATAGAACCTGTCCAGCGCGTGCCTTTCCTTAGGAATGCCTCCTGGCACTGCATCCCGCAGCCGCTGCACCGCCTGGCTGGAGTGCCTTGGCACGGCAAGACATGCAGAGAGCAAAGAGTCAGAAAAAGACGCGCGAGATAGAACCTATGTCTTAGGCACTATCCACGTGTCACAAGCTAATTCACCCCGCGTGCGTGCTCAACAAGTAAAGACAGAATCTGTGGCACGACACCCTTCCGAAGGCGGCTCAGAACGAATAAACCGAAGAAAGTAAAACACACAAAGACCAGTAGTCATCCTTTTGCCCCTGGGCCTGAGACCGCGCGCGCGCGCGGAGCCTCTCATAATCCCGTTTTGCGAAGCTGGTCCGGCAGATGGCTCGAAAAAACATCGGATTCGACTGCTACTTCCCCGCATTGATTTCGACACTTCCTCGTGGGCAAGAAAGGACGCCCTGCCATCATGTGGCACTTAACCATGATCTTTTGACGAACCAATGAGGACAATGAAAAGCAACAACAGCAGACAATGCTGCTGGCACACGCACGCCTTCGTCGGAGCCCACCACAGGGGGATGAGGGAAAGGGACAACTTTGCATCGTCGAGATGTTCGTCAAAATGGGGCGTGCCCATCGCGGCATTGAGCTGCTGTGGCGCCGGGCCGCATTCTAACCAACACCCACACGTCGCGCGCGTCAGCGCTAGAAACACTTGAAGGGCCAAGAAGCAGCTGATAGCCCAGAGCACGCCAGCGATTTGCAGATGTATCCCGCCGAAAACGCGCCTGGTCCAGAGCCCACAACGCTGGCGCCTTGTGCTGGGCTGAGCTCGGCGTTTAGAGCTCGTTTTGGCGACTCCTTGCAGAAGGACCCAGTGTTTTCATGGTTTTGTGGTTGGATACATGAATACGCGAGGAATGGCGGCTGTTCTTGTACTCTGGCGCTATCCGTGGCATCATCATCAGACCCTTGCGCTGCATGAGGCCGCCATGAGGCCATGAGGCCATCCCAATGTGGGTGTGTCTTTTTTCAGGGGTCCCCCCCGAAAATGGTTGGTTTCATTTTGGTTTCCCTTTAAACCAACCCAAAAAGGGGCAGCCTCCCAAAAGACCCACGTGCGCCCAGCCTGGCTCACTCCTTGTGGCACTTGTCCATCAGGAAGCCCGCGGCGCGGCGTTGCATTTGCGGAGGCGACTTTCGAGGGGATCGCGTGGCCGGCGGCGCCGTTGCTTGACTCATGTCACTGCCTGCCTAAGAAATGGGGGATCCCCACCCGCTTGAATATGGAATTGGGGGAAGGGATTTCGACCCCTGGAGATCTTCATTTGTGGTTCCATTTTCCCTTTTTATGGGGAAGACTAGATAAATGGGATTGGGGAGGGGCAACTGTCGGGGCCTTGCGTGCCGCGATTGTCGGTGTTATCCTTGTTGGAGCGTGCACAGAGCTTAGGGTTTTGGATCGGCCGAGGATGTGCTAGACCAAAACTGCGTTCTTCGCCGGGCTTGGTGTCAATGTTAAGAACGTGCCCGGCTCTATCGCAGGTCTGGGGTTGATTAGGTGCACGTGTCATACACACACACACACGATTACACAAACAAAAACACACATTAACAGACATACGCATACACACAAACACAAACACACAAACAAACACAAGCAAACATAACACACAAGCAACACACACACAAGCAACACACACACAAACAAGCACAGAAACAAACACACAAACAAGCACACAAACACACAAGCAAGCATACACACAAACAAACACGCAAACGAACACAGTCAAACACACAGGCAACCACACACAAGCAAACACACAAACACACGAACAAGCATACACACAAGCAAACACGCAAACAAACACAGTCAGACACGCGGGCCAACACACACACAAGCAACCACACAAACAAGCACACAAGTAAACACACACACACACACACGCACGAACAAACAGACACACACACACACACGCGCACAACGCACCCACGTGCCCAAACAAACAACACGTCCATGCAGCCACGCCTGCCTGCCCGCCTCGCACAGACGAACAGAGACCACAAGCAAGTCTCAATGACTCAGGCTACTGAGATATATTCGCGCTGGTCGGTACGCTGACTATACAGAGACCGCGGAGGTGCTGATGCCACGCGTGCTCGGGGCCGAGAACCTCGACTTCCCCGCGGAGCCGTGGAGGTACCGCCTGCGCAGCCGCCTCTGTGGGCGGCAGGGGGTCATAGAGTTGCAAGACCTGGACGGCGCAGGCGAAGGCCTCTGGGGCCGTTTGCAGGGCATTGCCCTTCGTGGCGCTGCAGTTCACGAGGCGGGCTTGCAACCTTTGTACGCTGCCGACCATATTTGGCCATAAGTCAACAATAATGTACCCCCAGTGGGCCTCCCAATCCTCACTACAATAGGTTCTAAAATGGGTGGTGCACCTACCCCAAAATTAATGGTACCATTGGTTTTGACCCATAGCCATATTTTAAAAGCAATGACCTGCTTGGCCCAAGGTGCCTCTCATTTCGCCGGCGAAGCTGGTGGTGGAGCACATTGCCGCACTGGCGCAGAGCCGCTTTTGGCACGTGGCCGCGTTTGCCGCACGCCTCGGCTTCCTGCGGCTTCGTATTTTGAGCAGCGATGGGCGTTCTCAGCAGCTAACGTATGAGGACCGAGTTGGGCGCATGGGTTTTGCGGGGCTATCACTGGATGAGCCCAGGGCATGCGAGTCTGAAGAAGCCACACCTTTGTTGTACAAAAATGCAACTTGATCTCTCATCAAACACTCAATCGATTACACGTGGAAGAATACAAGTGGACGCACCTCAACCACATTTTGCATTGCCTTTGCATGTTGGATTGGAAGTAGGACGCTGCAAAGCAATGTGCCACCACCGAATCCCGCAAGAAGGCCTTATATAGCCCGAAAAGTGGCATCGAGGCTTTGCTTGAGGTTTGCCCTTTGGGGGAGGGTGGCAAGATTGGGGGCGCCAAAGGGCTGACGGTGCCCTTTCCCCAGTTGGCGGATGCGCAAAGCTCGATTCCGGCCCCGCCTGGGCTACACGTTGCCCGGGCACATTCCTTTCCAACAGCTTGGGCTTAGATTGCCGTTCAACTTGCCTGGTTTGGGAGCGTAGGGGGGACGACCTACGAAGAGGACTTGTCTAGAGTAGACTGGTGAAAACACAACACTTGGCAGTTTTGGAAAAAGGTCCAGTTTTCGGTCCGTCCTCTCGCAAGTTGAGAGTTGAATGGCGATAGCCCGCGCTCCATGTAGCCCCTTCCTTGGAGGTCCGATTTGTTGCAGGAGGCGAGCTGGCGGCAGCGCTTGCTAGTCAGCAGCACGAACGCCAGCCGGTGGAGAGGAGGTGTCACCTTTTTGGCGGCAGGGCTCTCCAGAAGGACGGGCACCGGAAAGTGATTTCTGTGACACTGGCCATTTGCGCGTGTTCCAAGCAGTGGCAGGATTTGGCGACAGCTGCGTCCAGAGGAAACCGTGCTTGGGCCCTGTAGCCACAAGGCTATGGCTCTTGCCTGGGCCGCAAAGCTTGGTTTGGCCATGGGAACGCTTCACTTCGTGGATGGGTGCTTCTACCTGCTGCAGAAGCCCTCCCCAGCCTCGGCTGGGCGCATTCCCGGTTTGGCCCATTTGGGCCGCAGAGACGTGGTCTTGATCCCTTCCTTGAAGGAGCTGGGGGCCAGCGGCGTCGGCATCCGTCTGGGCAACGCTCTCTTCACCGTGGCCGCCGGGCTGGCTCTCGCAGCGGATCTCGGCTTCAGCTTCCGAATGCTCGTGGGGATCTCCTGGTTCAAATACTCGGAGAACGGCATCTTCTCCGAGCTGGCCTCCTCATTTTGGTACAGCAGGCCATGCAACACAGGGACCCGTTTGGCTGTGGCCAAAATAGGGGTCCAAAATGGGTTGCCCTGGTAAATGGAAAAGTAGGCTAAAACCTGTGTAACCCTAGGTCTTGAATTTTGAGCCACACCCATTGGACCTTGTTTGGTTCCCCCTTGCCTGTTTGCATGGCATGTGGTATCTGCGGCCCTCAAAGCCAGCCACCCGACGCAGGATCAGCGAGATAGATCAGATCATCGGAAGTCCTGGCAACATGGGCTATGCAAAGCCTGCAGTAGAATCAGGAGCTGCCACAATCGTGCTTCATGGATACTTTCAGAACTTGAAGTATTTTTGGCATCGTCTAGATCTTGTGTCTTGGCGCCAGTGGCATCATATGCTAGACATCTCCAATCGCCCTTTAGCCAGCCTTGTTGCTGTGAGCGCTGGAACTGCAAATTCCTTTTCTTTCTCCCCCTAGAAGACAGTAGATCATTGATCCTCCAGACTTGTATCATTCTATGTCTGATCTTGCTATATCATTTCATCCTCTAGTTACAATTTGGCAAAGGAAGTTTAGCAGGAACTTCCGTGCTACTGGAACGAATGGAGGGACACCTGTCGTGTGGGGAGACAAGTGAGGAGACAAAGCGTGTCAAGATCCGAGCCACCAAGCAGAAGCCGGGAGACAAGTGGGGCGACAAGTGGGGAGACAAGTGGACGAAATGACAAGCCTCTCGCAAACCCAACTTGTACCTGACACATCTGCATCTTTCAGGCTTTCATTGGCTGCTATACCCGTTTCCATGCCTACTTGGATGCGTCATTTTGCTGCAAACACCCTGAAAACGCAACCATCCTCCAAACGCGCGTAGAGGCTTGCGCCAGCAAAGCCCAACAAAGAAGCAAGGCGATTTTTGTGCACCGGGTGGACCCAACGAAAAGTTTGATGGCTGCGAAATGCCAATGCCGAGCATGTCCGGGCGTCGCGGCCGAGGTTTTGTGTGCATGCTTGCGAAAGGGCCGCATTCCCGCACTCTGTTCGGGCTTTTCGCGCTTGTCGTGCGTACACATACCACTTGCCACCCCTGCAAGGCAATGCCTTGACTCGGCAGCTTGAGTTCGCTGCCCTGGTTGTTGGCAATTGATGTGGTCCACTTGAAGCGAGCTGATGCGCGCAATTTGCTAGTTTGGGGTCGATGCTGGTTTAACTCTTGTTGAAGCTTCTGCTGCGCAAGCATCCTAGTTAGGGGTACATGACTTGATAGGTAGATGTCAGAGATTGGCGACAAAACACCAAAAAACGCAAAGCAAGCCGGCAACGAGAGCATGAGGTGCCATCGGGCCTTTCCAGCACCTTCGCATCTATCCTTCCCCGGCTTCAACAAGTCAGCTATGCCTCGTTCACGTACTCCGTAAGTTGCTCATGTTCGCGTCCATGGCTGAAGTCAGTGTTAGTGAACATGCTCAGGTGAAAGGCTTGCTGCTGCCACGGTCTTTGCAGCAGAATGCCACGGTTGCCTGGCACCAGTGGGCGCGGCAGCATGCGCTCGGCCCCACCCTGGCAGTACACGTGCGACGTGGGGACAGGGGTGCCGGTTTGGGAAGGGCGTATTTTCAAGAAGCAGTGAACACAGCGAGGCAGGCCGAAAGAGAGGATAAGGGTGCGGCAAGGCTGCAGCAGCAGCCCCCTGCCCTACAGCTGCCGCTTTCTTTGTGACAGCATTGTTGCAGTGCTTCCAGTTGCACCGTCTTGCTTGCTCGGAGGTTTCGGGGGGGTGCTTCCTGTTTTGCTTCGTGTTGAGGGCATTTGCATCAGACATTTCCACAGTCCTTCTTATTGTTGGCAGCCTCCTGGGTCTTGTCTTTGCAGTGATTGCCGTCATCTCGATGGCGCTTTGAGGGAGGAGACAGGACAAACCCAATCCTGCAGGCGGCAGCTGAAGATGGACGTGGGCTGCGTGTTCTTCTCGGACGAGCCAAGGAAGCTCCGGGGCTGGGACCTCTGCCGCGTCTTCGACGCCGAGCTCCGGGACGACGTGGCCCTGGCGGTGATGGCGGGCTGCTGCTGCGGCGCGGTGCTCAGCGCCTCGACCTTCGGCTGGTGGGCGGCCCTGCTGGGCGGCTACCAGGCGGGGCGCCGCGCGGAGTGGGCGGAGTTGGCGGAGGTGGCGGCGGTTTTGGCGCAGGTGGTCATCGCACCCCAGACGGACGTGCCGGACTGCATGCCAGGTGCAAAGAAGCTTGAATGCGAACGTGATGCTGTGCTTGGCTTGTTGCATGCATTTGTGCCACTTCCTTCGTGGCTCATTTTGGAGTCCCAGGAACTTCACTTTGGGGGCAGTGCCTGGCTGGACTCAGATAAGGGTGACGTGCCATGCGGAAGAAAAGTTGCTTTGGCTTGTCTGGCTGTGAGTACTGTGTTGAAAGTCGGGGGCCTCGTAGCCGTGACGAGCCTTCGCCCTGCACGATCTTTTTTGGGATTCGAGCCCTTGCCATGCGAAGACTGCTGGATTGGATGCAACAGGTTCAGAAGGTTGGGTTTTGATCCCCAATTCTTGTTCCAATTTTGAAGCCTGACCGGTACGCCTGCTCAAAACCATCGCACGGCGCTC